TTTAAATTCTGGTATCAGGTTGACAAAGAAATGGGACGCAAGGCTATAAAGATGTAAAAAGAGGTGTTTAGCAAGGTTTCCTCCTACCTAGGGCAGAGATTCTTCATCATATGTGAAAGCCATTGAGACTCAGTGAGGGTTCCTAGTATTATCTGTACAGAAGAAAACAATTGTAAAGGTCCTATTGTGGGAAAGCACTGAAGCACATGATTTACTCTCAGGCTGCAAGGAGTCCCATTGATTTCAGAAACTAGTGACATGCAGAAGGTTAAACATGTGCTTTGCTGGGTTAGGGCCAAACCTGGTATCATTCTTTTGAGTAGTTTACAAAACCTTTTGCTGTTGAGGGAAAGAAAAGAAGTTATAAAGTTATGTTGTGTTTTAAGTCAGGATAGAAAAGAACCAGCTTTGGTTCAAAATGTAGCTGGTTATTTTTGCAAACACAGTGTGATTTTCTGGCTGTATGCACAGCAGGCCACTATGCATCATCCCTTGCAGAGCCAAGTACTGTGCTTGCATTAACTTTTCTTCATAGGTTGCCTCATAAGTGGCATTTGCCCTTCCAAGAAGATTGTGGAAAAAGCTCCAAGCTCTTGGAGATGTACTGTTAAATACAGGATGGAGATTTTTAAAGACACTGCAATTGACCTTGAATTCAGGTGAACACAGTATCTTCCATGAGATTCATGTTAAACTCTGGTTTGAGGAATAGCTTAGCTCCAAGCTCTTGATTGTCTGCCTTGTTCTCAGAGGCAAATTGTTGTATGCTAGTGGAATCATGTGTCCTGTGCTTAATGTGAGGAACTGCAAACATTTCTATAGGAGAAAAATTCCAGATTTAGATGAATTATAAAACTAATTCTCTGACTGGAAAGAATTTTTAAAAAAGTAATGAAAAAAAAATCTAAAAGTGTAAAATCTAATCCATAAAAGAGAAAATTGATTTGCTCTCTGTGTATTCATTTAATTTCTGTTTCACTGTAATCTTTTACCTTTATTTACCCCTCATAAATATTAATGGTATTTATATTTGAATCATAAGCTTTATTTCATATTGACCTATATGATTCCTCATGTCTACCATACCAACCTATACCCTCTTTTAATTTCCATGAGGCTCTCAATTGAAAAATGAAATGAAGTTTCTGACTAATAACTCTTTTGAAGCAGTTGCTTTCAGAAGTTGCTAGTAACCTGTATGCTGGGACTTGTGGGTTGAGAAGACCTGTATATTGTGGTAAGAATCATGCATGTCTTTGCTAACAGTGAGCATGTTTGGTAGTATGGAAATACTGGGTGAAAGCCTGAACTGCAGGTTTTGGAAGGGCCTCTCTTCCACTGTTTTTTGAAGTTCTGTTATGTAATAATCAAATCAATGCAGTATCCAACTAACAAAGGAATGGGGGAAAAGTAAGTGAAGGGAAAAGGCTCTGTTGTACTATTTGTGATCAAAAATGGGTAAGATCCATGCTTTGATGCCTGATATTCTCCAAGCTATGAAATAAGAGTTCTGAGAGTTTTGGCCACGTTTACATTCATCTACTTAGTTTTACTCACGTCCCCATAAATAAATTATCTTTAACTGCAACCAAAAAGGGATCTTGTACAGTTTAGTATCGCTTTATGGTTGACATTGATTTAAAACACTCCATAGGGGGCACAGTACTGCAGAATCAATTAGAAGTAAATGCAGTCATGAAAGTTACATGAAGTAGTGTCTGGCAGAGCCTTGCAGACACTGTTCTTCATATGGCTGTTGGCCACCTGAAGTAAACAAAAAATATATATATTTAGTTTATTTCATATTAATTGATGGCCTTACAAGGGAAAACACAAGTCCCTGACAAAATCAAGTCCTCTCAGATAAAAATCTTAAGCAGTTTTAAGAGGATTTTTAACTTAGTCTGTTGAAACATGCTGTCAAAATAATTGCCAAACAGGTATACTGACTATAGGGTCTCACAAAGACAGGTTCATAAAATAGCCTTGTTAATTGCCACGTTTGTGCTAAGAAAGTGAAGAGAAACAAACCAAAATCCTAAACAAACTCACATGGATGTGTTCAATTCTGTCTAGTTACAATATTTTTTGTTTGTGACCTGGAATATAAAGAGAGATGAGCATAAAATGAAGTGTGTGTTGGATGAGAAGAAGCCTTCCCATGGGATTGCATGTGGCAGTAAAGAAGTGAGGAGTTTTCTTCTGACCCAGAAGCCAGTAGTGATTCCAGTTTCAGGGAGTTCAAGAGCTGTACTGCTTTGACATTCCAGTACAATGCTCAAAGGGAGCAAGAAGCAAATAGGAGGTATAATGCCTTCACACTGTTTTCACCTGTTCCAATCCAACTGACCAGAAGCGAACTGTACCACACTGGAGACTGTAGTACACTTTTAACCATGGTGGTAGCTTTTGTAGATCTCCCTCTCCCTCAAAGGTAGCAATAAAAAGCACATCACAAGCTCTTTGAGCAGAAGTAGTGTCATATCTTTTCCACTTTTGTTGACTTTTGTCCTCAAGGGCTGGGCTGCCTGCATAGTGAAAAAAGGCCATAACTTGCTAGCACAAAATAACTCTTTGGAAGATACTGAAGGGGAGCATTCTGCAGTGATAGAGTTTGGGCCACAGGGCCTTCTTTGGATATGCTAACATTCGAACAAAACAGGAAACCTGAATTAGCACAAGAGATTGCCATCAGTTTTCAAAAGATAAGCTTTCGGAGTGCCTCAGAGTTGTCAAATGTACTTACTGCTTATCCTGACCTCTTTTTCTTTCTAATCTGTTAAATATATGGAAAGAGCTATAAAGAAACTAGAGACTAATTTGCATCATTCTTACGCAGATGCTTCTTTGCTCAAGCTTTTCAATCAGTGTCCATTTTTTAGATACATGAAAATAGTTTCTTAATTAACCTCTGAAATAACATTTTATTACCCAATTAATAGAATCTTTCTTGTAGTCCTTCTAATGGTAGATGAAAGGAATATCTGGACTTCCAAAGCATTAGTGCTGACTAATATGTTAACAATTCCTTGCTCATTCACTCACTTTGCTCTGATCTGCCAATATTTCTGTTGAGATTTTATCACAAATGTTTCTTGAGAACATGAGAGAATCATCTGTGAAATACCAGCTTGTCGGCAAGCTGTTTGTTTATACTGTGAGACCAAAGTGCCTTGTAGCTGAATTCAATGCAAGGGTCTGTTGGTAGGAGCTGGTTACTAAATCCCTAGTAAAAGAATGCTAATAAAGTAGATGGGCAGGGATTTGTCAATATAATCTTGTTTTGAGTCCCAGTAATTTCAGTGATATATGACTTGGATTGAATCAAAACTAGAGGTTTGACATGGTTTGCTATCTTTATCTCTAAATGGCTGTTTATTGTATTACAGAAAACAAGCCTCTGTATAAGTTGTAAGATAAACTTGTGCTTAAATCTGTTTGCCAGACCAGATGGTAATGTAAGTCATATGATGGAGAATCTATGTAGTTACATTAGTTGCCAGCTAACAAAATTAAGCTGTTGCACTGTGGTGTAGCATGTACCAAGGAGATCCCATACATTTGTGTTTTCTGCTGTTAGCACAAATACCTGCACGCATTTGAAATATTTCCATTTCTTTTCTGAGGGGCTATATTTCAGCATGTCTTGTCAATAATGAAAAATAATCTGTGAAAGGGTACCTACTTGTACAGCCATTCTATCTTTTTTAGGCATGTATGGATAATGTGTTCCTACTGAAAACACATTCAGGCTCCTTTTATTGTCTAATTCAATGAATTATTTAATTTAAAAAGGATTTTTCACAGATAAAGGTAATGTGTTGTGAAAGAGAGATGCAGATTTGAGTCCAAAATCAGGATCTTTGGGATATCTGTCCAAAGAGGGAACGTCATAGGTCTGTTTACAGCAAGAAAGAATTGAATACAAGGTGTGCTCAAATACAACCACGTGCATTTCTATTATTCAAATTTTAATGAAGGAACTGCAGAAGTCATCATGCTTGCTGGCCAGTTTGTTAATCATTGGGCAATACAGAAACTCCTTGCTCTGACATGTGACAGCCAGGAATAGGCTGGTTCAACTGCTTAACAATACTCTTCCCTCCCCTTTCCCTTGTTGCTCCAAAAGCTACGTCTGAGCATAATATTTAGAGTTTTGGGCATTAGATAAACAGGTTTGTCTGTGGAAAAGAGAAATGTTGTTTTCATCCTTGGAGTAATGGAGCTACTCCTCTTTTAAGTCATTATAATTCAATATGTATGCCCTGTTACAGAGACCTTTTATTTAGAGGATACTTGGTCAGCACCTTAGTATTACAAGGACTTCTGGAAATTTTCTTTGATTTTTTTGGCAGCTCTGATAACATGCAATATTTGAGCATGATAGAGTCTTTGGAACTTTGCACAGATTTTACTTAAAGGCATAACAACACATAGCTCTGCATGTGGTACTTATGAAGAGACAAAAAGATCTTTTTTTACTTCATCTTTGTAAATGGGCTCATAACCTTTTTGCTCTCAGGCTCATTCATGTACTGTTTGAGAGGCAAAATTCTCAAACTATTCTAGCTAATTCAAGCCTTCCGAGATAAGAAAAATAAAAATAATAATAATATAATGTTCTAATATTTCATACTGAGCTGGGATGGGGACATGCTTAATTAACCTAACATCTGAAGGCTGGTTTAACGTGAGGAAGACACCCCAGCTAGACACTGCAAGCAATTACATAAAGTCTGACATCCTCTACCAGCTCCAGTCATAGTCAGTCTTCAATGCTCTGAGGAAAGCAAAACAAAAACCAGAAGCCAAATCATACATCAAAAGGGAAACGATTTCTTCTCTTGCACTGCAGGCAACCAGCAGACCACCTCAGAATGAGATTCATATACTATGTCAGAAAGAAACAGTCAACAAATAGTCCTTTCAGTCTACACCACCCCGTATCTACAACAACAATCTATATAGCCAAGAACTCATATTGCTTTCTTTTTTTCCAGGATTATCCTGATTTCAGGCACAAAGTCCTTTCCAGAAACAATACTAAACATGTGAGTAATTTTATATTTTTTAATGAAGTGAAATATTAGCAGAAATAATTTCTCTGTTCTCTGAGTTGTACATTAATTGAGTGATGCCTTATCCGACCAAACAGGAGCTTTGAAGGCTCTATTTTTATTAGGAAGAATAATAGGATTTCGATACTGGAGCAGAATAGCAGCAAAAGATCTCACATAAGCAAGTCACATCTAGACATTGTGTCATGAGGAATTTATTTTCTTCATCTTGATCAAGTAACGCAACATCATCTCATTTATATGCACCTCTTAAAAAACACCAATTTATTTATTTTGTTTTATTATATTTGAAGCTTGTTTTGTACTAATGCCTTGCAAAGTGATGAGACAAAAAAAAAAGGGAATATTTTCTATTCAGATGTTTTTCTACTGAGAATGAAAATATGATATCGAATTTCACAAAAAAAAAAAAATTCCCAGGTAAATAAGAGGTAATAAAAATTTACTACAAATACGAGATGGTATTATTAAGGAACTGTTATGATGCAATGCTCTGGGATTCCTAAATGGGTTTTATGTTTACTGATGTTTAGAGACACAGCGTGAGTTATGTGATCAGTTACAGGATTGGTATAGCATAGGTCAAATAACATACTCTGTAGTCTACAATAAAGAAGATCCAACTTTGTGAGCAAGATACTGGAATTTTCTCTCATATCAGTGCCTCTTCTGAAAGACTACTGGGGAGGAAGTAATAGTACTTTTGACGTATTAATAATATTAGAAGTATAAGGAGTATTTATAAATAGTAGTAGTGGTTTTGTTTATGTTTGTAAAATGAATGGATGGAAGAAAAGGAGTTATCCATGGTGTGTGCAGAGGAAGGTTTATTATATGCTGAGCAGCACTTGATGAATGGTGATTCCAATTTTTTTTTTCATGATTACCTCCCAGATTAATAAAAAACAGCTATTCAAAGATGAGTCATAACAAAATACAGATTTGGATGTAGTGATAATGTGAGTTTTTCAGGGTAAGGTATGCCTTCACTTGAGTATAGTTTTACTTTTCAGTCTAATTTTGTTTGTTTTCAGCTTTGTATAATTAATTAGAAAGTTTGGTTAATGGAAGGAAAGCAGCACGTCCAACTGTTTCTCACAGATGTCAATTGAAATGAGCTATCAAATTAATGCCATATGACAATGACAGTTTTGTAAATCATCCTTTGACCTGATTTGCCTCTGAAAGACTTTCTGCCAAAAGTGTTTATTCTAATACAGGCACATACCGATCATTTTTATCCCACCCACAAGCTATTTATCCTGGAGTTTTAATGCAAAAAAACTATTTGGAATTAATTGGAAGTTTTGCCTGATAACGGATTCTAGTTTTGATTACTAAACAAGCTAGTTCCAGAATCAAATTTTTGCTGGTAGTGTGATATATTACTATATTCTCCCTATTAGTGCTGTCAGCAATGTCAAGGATAGCTATTGATTATCTCCTGAATTATCAGGAATTGTGAATATTTCTAATCCTTTTCAAGGAGCAGAAGCTTGAGGGCATGGATCAACCTTAAGTGTGCTTCAACAAAAGTGCATTAACTTATGGGGAAAAGTTCTCATTCAATAGTAAAAGACTGGTTTGTTTGGTTTTTTTTCAGTGAATTTTCCTTGTTTCTCCTGGAGTACTTTATTCCTATTAAAAGAAACATATTTTAATTAAGCAGAAGGAACATAATCATAAAAATGTTACATTTCTTCTATGAAAGCTAAAAAAAAAAAAAAGCCACAGTACTATTAAAAATAACTTATAATCATTAATGAAAAAGTCATTGTGTGTCTCTAGTGCCAGACTTCTTGCTCGACAGGAAGGAGGGATGGATCTGTCATATTAAAAACTGTTTGTTGAAAAATATGAAATTGTACTAGAGGTTTAATTTTCATACTTACAGAATAGAACAACATCCTAACAAAGAACAGAAAAAAGTGTTTTTACCTTTTTTTTTTTTTTTTTTCAGTCTTAATGGTGCAGAAAGCAGGCATGAATGGTTTGGCAGATATTGTTCACTTTAAAGTAGTTTTTCAGCTTGTTTTTAACTGAGAACTATCATGAATAAGAAACAGTTGTTTCTCTGTTTTTTTTCCTGGAGGATTCCTTTGTCTCAAGAGAACTAGAAAGGAATCTTTCACAAAGATTTTCTCTCAGTTGTGGTATTGCTGATGTCAAGCACACAGAAATCATGAGTCAGCACTCCAAAAGTCACGAGACTTTTATTTAAAAAACAATCTTTTAAAATATAGATGTGACCCTTTTTTTTTTTTTTTTTTTTGAGCCTTCATGTTTAAAGTAGGGCATTTTAATATTTCCTTCTGCAACTGGAGTTATACTTCTCAGAACAGAAGGAGAAAAAGAAGAAACAGATGAGCTTTCAAAAATTTGCATGACTCAAGGGTGGGACTTGAAGCTCGTCTGAAGCATTACAAACATTGCAACGTAATTGCAGGTGTTGGCAACATGGCCATTATTTGTGAGAACTTTAATCTAAATCGTGGTCAATAAAAACAAATGAAAAAAAGTGACTGAAAGAAAAGCAAAGAAACTTTCACTTTGCAGAAAAGAGCTACTCTCATACCATTTGTTCCGCAGTCCTCCAAGCGATTCTCAAGTACTTGTATTTAAGGTTAAATAAAAAGACACACACATCTGATTCCCAGATACAAGATATATTCAGATAATGACAAATAGCACTCTGACTTAGGCAAAAAAAAAAAAAAAAAAAAAGATAGGCAGACTGGTGCGGATGCTGCTGTTACAAAGATATGAGACCATTACCACAGTTTAAAAGACCAATACTACTTGAATCTAACAACATGGTTCCTGGCCAGAAAAAGCTACAATTATTTTTAAAAATGTCACCTCATTCACATTCAATGATCACAGAAAATGGAAACATTTTAAGGAGTAATTGTAAACATCTGCTAAAGAAAAACCCAAAACATGACTAAGAGAGAAATGAACTTCCAACATGAAGTATTGTGTGAACAGATCCACTGGAAAAAAAACACCATTTCCATGGGTCAGTTCTATTCTGAATGTGAAAAAAACTGATGATAAAAATAAATGTTCGAATCCAGCTAAAAACATTTTACTTAAAGTCAGGCTGTCCGTCTGCTCAAATATCAAGGAATGTGGCTACTCTTACATTTCTGCAGCAGCTTCGGCCCCTGCTGCTCCTCTTGCCTTGTTCCAACAGAAGCATTTGCACAGGCACAGAGAACTGGGCTCAAACTAATCTGACAGAAAGATTTTTTTTTTTTCCTTGTTCTTCTGGGTTATTTTTTAACTGGACTGCTTAGGCGATCACATTGTGATGATAGCTCATGCAGAAAAGCTGCTAAATTTCTAACTGTCGCCTCAAAATGCTCACAAACTTCAGTATTGTCATGATAGTACAAATGAAGGTAAATCAGATCGTTCTGTTTCTTATAAAGTCTTCTTCTGAGGGCAAGAAACAAGAGGAAGGTATTTATAGGTCTAAACCTCAGCATAGCACTTAAAGTTGCTGAGCAGTTTGCAGGACAAAGGACTGCGTGGCAGCATCTGTTGTTTCAGCAAAGAGGGACAATGACTGAGTTAACACAGAAGGGAAAGGGAAGGTGTGGGTAGCCCACTTTTCCTGATACGGCTGTGCCAATTAAAGATGTCTCTACGAACAGTTCATATCACTGATGGTAGAGATAGAACGTCGTGTGTCCTCCGGTAAAAGTGATCACGTGCACATTTTCTGTAATGCTTAAGGCAATCAGGGTCTTTGTTTTCAAGACACCTTTTGTAATGCCAGGCATTACATCTGTAAGCAGCTCTTTTGACTGGAAGGTTTATCACCATCCATCGGTTGAAGCTCGAAACTCCCGTTTCTGCTGGCTGACCAGCTCAGTTGAATTATCCCTTATCTTCCCCTTTCTGTAATTGGGGTAAATCAACCAGAGTATTTGTGCCTGTGGGTGGGCAAACTGCTCTGGAGTTACTGTTCTGGGTTAAAAGGCTACTGAGCACAGGTGTCCTCCATTACCTTTTGCATTATTTTTTTTTTAAATTTATTTTAGTTAAACATTGTATTAATGTGATGAACTGCTGTATGACATGGCAGTAGGAAAGTCTGCTCTTCTACAGTATGGGGGTAACACTGGGAAAATAAATAAGTGCTGGCAAGTCAGATAGGATTCCTTTATCCAGTGGCTATGCCATTTTGCATATATGTCAATTAAATAAATAGTCCCACTGTCTTCCAAGTTGACCAGAATGGGATCTAAGAGCTAAAGGCAAGCAAGTCAGTGAGAATAGTTTATGCCAGGGTTTTCTTGGACCTTAAATGGAAGTAATATTCCAGAAGACAAGACTGAGAATGGAGAATGTGAATTCGGGGAAGGTGGTGGGAATACTGGTGTGTTTGCGCAGTGGTAAAAGAGAGCAGAGGACAAATAGAACAGACAAGGAAATTCAAAGTGAAGGAAATTGAAAGAAACACAGTCGCTTAAGTGCTTTGTTATCTTAAGTTGTTGCAGATTATTTCAGGTCTTAACATATGTTTCTTTAGCAATCAAATGAACAGCATCTTTCTAAAGGATTTCCTTGGAATAGGGCACAGGAATTCAGACTTTCTAGGATCTTTGAAGATCTTGAAATCGAAGAAATAATGAATGAATGTGTTTTCATACTATATCTTTATTTCCTTAGTTTGGCAATGGAGAATTGGCTGCTGGTTATAGCAAGGAAGAGAGTAACAGAAGTCATATTATAAGTCAGTGAGGAACCAGCTTTTGACATTCTCACAATAAACTGCAAGTAGACTAGCACTTCCTTAGAAAGTTATTCCATTTTTTTAAATCTAGGTTGAAGAACCCAAAATGAAACCTGTTTCCCAGCTCTAACATTGTCATTATTGGGAACAAAAGTACAAATAACACTTTTGAATATTTTTAAGGGAACTACCAGAGGTATCATAAGACTGGTAAATCTTACTGAACCAA